TCAAAAGCAACTGTACAACACCTATCGGACAGATAGGAATTAATCCATTCCAGAAAAGTTGAGTGAAAACCCAATCGCGATAACTTATTAATTAAGACTTTATGCGAAACTCTATCGAACGCCTTCGAAAAGTCTGTGTACACAGCGTCCACTTGTAGACCTGACTGCATCGCAGCGACACAGTCCTCCATGAATGTAGCAAGGTTGGAGAGAGTTGACCTACCACTAACAAACCCGTGCTGGTAAGGGCAAATTAAACTTTTCACTGCGAAGTTGAGCTTCTGTTTGACAACTGATTCCAAAACTTTTGGGACAGTGCCCAGTTTGGAAATAGGCCTATAATTCGAAACGTCGTTTTTATTCCCACTTTTGTAGATTGGTGTAATGAAAGCATTTTTCCAGTCGTCAATAAAGTAGCCAGACGAAAGAGATTTATTGAACAATATTGTTAATGGCTGAACAAGCGATGGGCACCGTTTGAGCATAGCACCTGAGAGGCCGTCAGAATCCAATTTAAAAGAGTGCTTTATGGAGCAGATGGCTACTTCTACATCACTTTCAGAAATATGCAGTGCGCCTAAGTTAAGGGCAGAATCTGAAAGAGGGTACCGTTCGGAAGCCACATTAGAATCCGAGACATAATTGGAGGAGAAAAATTCTGCGAATAGATTGGCTACCTCAGCAGGAGTGTTGGCCTCCTTGTCATTCAAAAAGACTGAGGACGGCACACTCGACTTAGCGTTCTTAGATTTTACAAACCTCCAAAATGCTTTAGGGTTGTTTTTAATGTCTGCTTCACTTTTACAAATAAAACTATTATAGAGAATCTTGTCCAAGGCATTAAAGCTCCTAAGGCAGTACTGATAACTGACGAACACAGATTGGGACCTAGTTGCCCTAAATCTTTTAAAAAGCCTATTTTTACGATTTTTGAGTCGCTTTAGATCCTTGTTGTACCATGGTAACTTATACAACTTCCTCGTAATTAAAGGCACTATTTCTACACACGCCTCATATACACTACTTTTAAAAACATTGTATGCAGCGTTAGCATCCAAATTGCCGAGAATGTGTTTCCAATCATAACCATGAAAACGGCTATTTAAGAGATCAAAATTGCACGAACTAAAGTTAAAAGTTGGTCGGCATCTCTCAGGAGGAACAGTAGCGAAAACATAAAATTTAATATGAACCTCCATAGGAATATGATGATTATTTACGCGAGTTATTGGGGAAGGGCATTCAAACACCCAATAACTTACATTATTGCTAATGAAAATTAGATCTAAAATACGCTTATAATTATTTATAATTCCATTAATTTGTTGAAGACCAATACTTAGGAAACTATCAGTTACGCATAACTCACTGTCTGTAGTCGCATTAACCGCGGTAAAAGACGAGGAGTTATTAAAGCTATTCCAAGATACATTACACAAATTAAAGTCACCTAGTACACAGAGGTGGTGTTCGCCAATCCTCGAGCTGAGATTCAAAACATTATCAACGTGCGCACTATATATGTCGAAGCAACTGCTCGGTGGAATATAAGAGACACATACAAAGAGAAGTTCAGAGGAACTCCGAACATTCACGCACAACTGCTCGAGGATAGAATCATTATTTTGAAGATGAACCATCGACGAGCACAATCTACGCTGAACTGCTATAAGCACTCCACCGCCTCTGGACAGGCCCGACTTGATTTCATCGCGGTCCTTGCGATAAACGTTATATAGATCGGGATCGAAGAATTCAGAGTCAAAGAAATTAGGTGTTAACCAGCTTTCGACGATTACGAATATGTCAAAATCCAAATGTGAGCTCAGTCTGCGGACTACATCAGCTTTAGTTCTCATTCCAGAAACATTTTGAAAATAAATTTTGATTTTACTATGTGCAACCACACTGGTAGTGCTGTCGACTGGCTTTGTAGTGTCTGCTGATTCTGATAATAAACAACTACGCCAGCGCGCATGAGCTACTTCAGTTGCATTTGTTGCGACAATTTTTGAAAAAAACGGAACGGCCGAACAGAAACATTTGCTGGCCACAACTCAGGCCTCAA